GAGAGAAAAAAAGAGGGAAAGACGGCAAGCAGCTTACAGGCCTTCGGGGAGTACCGGAGGTGCTGCATGTTTCATGTAATGTTCCAATAGTACCAATTCATGCACAGAGTACAGAAAAAACGAAAAACGAAAACCGAAAAAACTTCAAACACGAATATAAATAGCAATAGAGCATCCATTCTGGTAAATGTGAAAGCATACAAACGTAACTCAATATCAGCCGACATCACAAAATTTTTATGTCTGGTGAATACACAAAGAGACACGAATTAAAACAGGACGGGCACAAACGAATTGGCCTAAAGTAGTGCGGACTTAGGTAAATTAGAAGATATTTAAATGCATTACATAGAATTTCAAGCCACCGACCCTTTTTGACATAGATCGCTCGCTACTACCTTGAACGTAAAGAATACGAGGGGGGTGGGGTGGGGGGGTGGGGTTCCTATTTCTTAGGCAAAAGAAAGAGAGTACTTGAACGATGATTGGCAGGGGGGGCATATATCTTCACACCTAATGGCTGATTACAAAATCGAGCAGCCCTTTTGAGCCTTTCCCTTCTTTTTCTTTTGCTTAGGTGGCTGAAGAACAACTTTAATGGCAGCATCAAACACTGCTTTGACATTCTGATGGGAACAAGAAATAACAAACGAGTTCAGTTTCTTGTTGCCTTTGTCAAAATTTCGAAAAGAGCCCGCTAAATAAAAAAAAATAAAAAAATAATTAGGGAATTGAATCGCATGCAAATTGCAAACCTCTTGTGTTTTTGAACTACATTCAATATAAGCGGGAGCACCGATCAATTTTCTGAGTTCCTCCCCCTTGAAATTTTAATGTGAGAGCAGTATAATGTTCAATAAAGGTAAAAAGAGAGAAAAGCAAAAGGGTAATATGGGTATTATAGCAGTGGAATCTCACCTGCGCTGCAGTGATTGGTACAGCCCCAGGATGATCAACGAAGAACTGCTTATCATCTCGAAGATCTGGACCCATCAAAAATCATTAAAGAAATAACAAGATGCATCTATTTCCTAAGCATATTTAATCAGTAATGCATCTATTTCGATTATCCTTAAACTTCTGAATAAAACAAGATGAACAAACATAGGAATCTTGCAGTAATGTGAGAAAAAAAATTATGGTTATACATCTTACAGATCACATCAACATAATTTCAAAAAGCATATAATTCTTCAGTGTACAAACTGTTTTGTAGCACTTAAGAAATAAATAAAAAAAAAAAAAAAAAAAAAAAAAAACAACGTACCAAGTTTTGTGCCAACAAGAACTATAGGACACCAGGGGCATAATGCTTCAATTCTGGAATCCACTGGAATAAACGAGTCGGACCAAAAAAAAAATATCATCAGCATAAAATATAGCATCACAAGTGAAACTGGGAAACAATAAAGGAAAACGAGCACAAAATATATAGTTTACAAGAAACCAATAATTACCTTCTTGGAAACATTTTCATAGCTTGCCTTGCTGATGAGAGAAAATGCCAGAATGAAAACATCAGCTCCACGATAACTCAAAGGTCTTAATCTGTTATAATCCTCCTGTCCTGTTTTATAAAAAAAAATACCCATAAGTTGACAAATAATAAAAGAACTATACACAAAGAGATGCGCGTATCAAAATTTATATATATATATATATATATTTATCTATCAATTACCAGCAGTATCCCACAGGCCTAAGTTAACAGTGCTTCCATTGACAACCACATTTGCACTGAAATTATCAAATACAGTAGGCACGTAATCCTGTTTCATTTGAAAGAACAAATAAATTGTTAAATATTTAACAAATCATATTTGAAAGAATAAGAGAACATAGCATCATATCGTATAAATCAGCTCAAATATCTCGTATTCAGAGCATGAAGATGATACATACTAGTACATACTGTCATACCATAACTAATAAGACACAAAAAAAAAAAAAAACATAAAGAAACATAGAATAGCTTCATAACGAACATCCATATTGTACAAAACTATTGAAACGGAAAAGTGATAGACATCAACAAAAGAATTGACGAATCAATTATCTCGTCACGGTCGGCAGATACTTGAAAACCCCCTCAAGCTTTAGAATTGTTCTAAAAATAAGCCCAAATAACATATACGGTATACCAATATACGCTAAATCAAATTCCCATGGATCTATCACTATTATCTTTCTTAAGTGTGATTGGAATAAAAAAATAAGTAAATCAGATACACCAATGTTCAACTTCTTAGATAATTCTATGGTGTCTTTGCACATATTCAAACCCTTCTTCTCATCAGGTATTACAATGCAAGATCATAAACATTAAAAAATAGCATAATGATGTCAATTCTTTTCGTTTGATTTCACCGATTTCTCAATACCAAAAACCAAAAGGGGAAAATTCCACATCTTGCAATTAATTTCAAATTCCTTATGATGCAGAAAATGAAAGTATGCAAAAAAAATCAGAAATCATAATAGAGGAAGAAACAAAAAAGTCAGACCGTGGGGAAGGTATTGCTGGTGTATGAGATCAAAAGACACGTCTTTCCAACGGCGCCATCGCCCACTGTAACACACTTTATGAATCTTGAAGCGCTCATTCTTCCAAATTGAAAATTCTCCCACTTCTTTTCTCTCTCTTAATCTTTCTCTCTCTAACTTTCTCTCTCTCTCTCTCTACAATCGAATCTGATGCAATGTGCAATCACAAAAACCTACACGTAAATGCGCATCGCATACGTAAACAGAGGATACACGGTCTTCGGCTTCTCCATCATTCCTCCCCTTCTTCAAAAAGGTGTGACAACGACAGAATCAGCGAACTCAAACCCTAACCCTAATTTGGAAAAAAAAAAAAGCTTTTTGTGCAAGGAGATGAATGTGAGGGGGAATATGGGAGAAAACGGAGGGATCAAAATCTAGAGAGAGAAACAAAAAGCATATGGTTATCTGATCAGAGGAAATTGGGTGGACATTACGCAAAATACCTTATTTAGCCGGGAAATGCTGCCGTTGAACCGCTCCTTCTCTCTCCTCTGCGCCTTTCTCGCTCTAGAAATTTACTCTTGGGCCCCAATTTTTTTTCCTGTAATTCTCGTTTGTGTATTTTCTGTTCAATTGCCCATGTAAATAGTATCGATGTTTAGTAGACCAGGTATTCGGGGAAATAATATTGGAATATGATATTCAAAAAGATACCATTTAGCTATTTTTAGGGGCCGAAATTGGAATTTAATTTTCGAATTCCGTCAATTTCAATTTGAAAATATTTGAATTTTGAACTGTATTTTTTATTATGATTTTTGAAGTTTTGATTTCTTATTTTTCCGAATTTATTTGGAATTGAATTAGAATGGTATATAAAATTATCGAAAATTTCGATTTTCAAATCCATTTTAGTTTTGAAAATATCTATGGTTTTTTTTAAATATATAATATAATTATATGATATAGTTTGTAATTTCATAATTAACTTATGTTTATTTTATATGAAAAATATAAATATCGGAGGGTGAAGTAAATTAAAATTTTAGAGAAAATTAATTAATATCAGAAACTTTATGTTGCTTTTTTTCCTTATAGCAAGATCTAGGTTTCAATTTGTTGTTCCTACATTGTTTTAATTTATTGCGTTTTGTCGAATTTTTTTTTTTTGAACTTTCTTGTACTTTCCTGCAACATTGTGAAAAACGATAGAAAAATATTGTAAAAATTCATGTTATGTCTGAATTTAGAACAAGAGATTATAAACTGATGTAATTTCCAAAATTTTGTAGTCGGGATGAATTTTGCATTATTATTTGTTGGAACCAAAATTGGAACCGGTTTTTTACTTTCAAAAAAATAATTGAAAAGTTTCCGAGAAAAACCATTTTTATCCAACGTCCTATTTCCAACCCTAACTATTTATGATCTTAGAATAATACAAAAATAATAATGATAAAATTAGGAGTGGCAAACGAGAGCCATGTGAACTTAAATTTGTTTTAACTCAAACTCAATTATCATTGGGATTTACAATTAGAACATCAAATTTACATATTTAGATTCTAGGGTCGAACTCATCTTACATAATTTTTTCGGATATCAAGTTTATATCGGGATCAAATAAGGCGCATACAATAATATATTTTAATAATTTAAGTGTTACAAATTAGTTCAATGATTGTAAATGCCTTAATTTTACTTGATAAATGTTAATATATAAAAATTTCATACATGTAATCCGAGTACAAAATGTTAAATAATGCTAACAATAAAAGGCCAAGTTATAGGAATTGCGATAAAACTAACTGATTTTACTTTTAACAATTTGTAAGCTAACATTAAAATTAGGGCTGTGCGTTGGTTGGTTTGGGTAAAAACCAGGCAGAAAACCAACCCAACCCATCCAACCAACTTTGGTAAATATTGGAAATCGTTATCGACCCATTTTACATGGGTTGGGTGATGGTTGAAAACCAATTTGGTGGGTCGGTTGGTGGTTTGGTTGATGGGTCATCCATCTAAATATTTTTTTTAATATTTTATTAGTTGTTACAACGTTATATCTTTTATAAATTAAATGTGACTAGTTCAACAATATTCAAAACATTACGGGCATATATATTTCAATTAAACATAAATATTTCAACAAATAATAATCGTCCAAATATTTAGGCTATGTTGTAAAATTAAAATAGTTCAAATTAGATAATTACGTTAGATTTATTGCTTTTAGGATTTTGGTCAATATTAGACAATTTAATAAACTGAAATGATTTGTGCAGGCCAAAATTAAACATTCAGGCACATTTTTTACCATTTTTCAAAAAACAAAAAGTAAAAAAACTCAAAACTCTCTCAACCTTTCGATTTTCTTTCGCAAAGCCCGTGCAAATCGTCAACAGATCGGAGGTAATTTTTACATTTTTACGATCCTCTTGTTATGTAGATTACAAACCCGGAAAAAAAAACGAAAAAAATCACACGTTGGCCTGCTCGTGTGAATTTACACGAGCGCATCCACTGTGCTCGTGTAAATCCACACGAGCAGGCATTTTTATTATTTTTTTTATTATTTTTAATTGCTCGTGTAAAAACACACGAGCAATTAAAAATAATAAAAAAAATAATAAAAATGCCTGCTCGTGTGGATTTACACGAGCACAGTGGATGCGCTCGTGTAAATTCACACGAGCGGGACAGCTTTTTTTTTTTTTTTTTTTTTTTAGGG